CTGCTTTCAGTGGCGGGAGTGGGTTTAATTGTCCTCTTTTTTCAGTTGGGGGCACCAAGGGGGCACCGGGAATTTGTTGGGCATCGTGCCCCTAGGCACCCCCCCATGACTGCGCCACTGATAATAAAATTTATTACAACAAGAAGAAATGCGGTGGCTAAAACTTCTCAGTGAGTCAAGAGAGGAATACGACTTCACATTACGCGTATGTCTTGGGGCAAGACCGTCAGCAATGGTTGCATTCAGTATTTGCAAAAATGTTTCTCGCAACCCGCCGGCTCGATCGATGATCACACACGTGGTACATGCGCGAGCGGGTCCATAGAGCGTCTTGTGTACAAGACTACGTACCGATACATTACGTCCATGTACATGTAGTGCGCGCGGTCCACAGATAATGCTCGGCCGGGTTAACATTATGAGCTGGCAAAGTATGGCAACATATTTAACAGGTACTTTAGCTCACTGCTGCTGGGTACGGGTACGCGTCAGCATCACTCTTGCTTTGTGCACGCAAGTATTGCAAGGCAACTGTAGCCAGCTCCCAGCCGCAAGGTGTTTAGCAAGCACTTGGTACATACAACCATATGTGAGTATCCTGGGGCAGTTGGCCCCTTGGCGCTGACATTCTCACGGTCGGAGCTGCGTGCGTGTACATGTACTTCGAGAACTCAAAAGTCACTGATGAGCTGACGGAGTGGGAGTGGGCTGGCCCGTTGTCTTCATTTCATTCCCTCCATAGCGTATTAGTAGTCTGGGAGTCCACCTGGGCTAGAGTGGGCCATGCATGGGGTGGACGTCGGATCCGGACCTCACAGACATGACAAATCTGGGGGTAAGATGGTGGAGGTAGAAATAGATAGCCTGGGCAAAGGGACAACTCTCCATTCACTTTGTCGTGTTTGTATGTAGGCTAGCCCAGGTGGTAATGAAATGAAGACAACATCCAACCGTGGCTACATGCACGTCCTACGTCATGTAAGCCTACCTGGATTTGCTTGTTTTCCTCGATTTTTGCTGCAACATGTTAAAAATAACTGAAATCTTTTTGGTACAGTATGCAAGATATTCATAGTGTAGTGCCATTGGTTTATACATGTAGGTTGAAAAGAATATGGCAGCTTGTCAATATCGTCATAGAGTGACTTAAAGTCTCTGCAAGGAGGTGAGGTGGACTGACGATACGAGATTAAATATGCAAGACCAGTACTGGCAGTAGACAGCAACATGGTCTTGGGTTACAGATAAGGCTGAATCAGCCTATTTACTTCTTCACTTGTGCCTTGCAAATGCACTTGTTTTTCTTGCTATGCTTGCTGCTTCCCATCCATTCTCCAACTCCTCTAAAATATTTTCTTTTCATGACATCTCCCCCACTTGTTTAATGGATAGAACCCCCATCAATATTATTTTCCATTGTTCCTTAATATGTACAGTCACGCGCAGCCCAGCTGCAAGCGCCCAAAGAAGGAGACAGCTTGTTTATGTAGTTCTGAAGTACATTTACATGTATATATACTCATTAATGTACCAGTATTATTATTATTATTGAATTCAATTTATATTGCGCTCATTTCCTAAAAAATATTCAGGAGCGCTTAACAATATTTAAAAAAATACCTATTAGAACAACTATTTACAAAGACCCAAAATAATTAAAATAAACACAATTTAACATGGATTAAAAGTTTAAACCAAACATGGTGGGACTTCCTCACATGGCCAGCACCAACTCTCCCTCCAACGCTTGTGCACACATGCACCTATGAATCTGTTTACAAGTAGAAATTCTAATTAGGCATTCTCAACTGTTTGGGTAAGAACTTTCAATCCACTACAACTGCACATTGTCCAGCGACGGTCAACCCAAAAAGTGGAGACTCAGCGAAAATGCCTTCTATGAACCCAATTTTGTGTGTAACTTATGGCTCATTCACCGCATCTGACCACTGACACATCATAAATATATAAATTATACTGAGTTTTATCGACACCATTAAACCCTACTAAATTCTACACTACATGTAGTTGAATATCAACTGGGTTAGCCAATGAATCGCTGTGACAGAATGAAATCACAGCGAACCAGAGTTTTAAGTTCATAAATCTGGCTTTAAAAACTTTTGCACGCTAATGACCATCAGGATGGCCTTTAGTTCAATGCTGGCTTCATATTTAAGCGTTTCCCATTCTTGTGAAAACCCCGGTTGCAAGAGTATCATGATTATTTAAACAAAGAGAGGAAATAAACACATTACGTAACATCATTGACTTAACAAAATAATCCATTAGACGTCTCATTTCCATCACAAAAGCTCTCTAGCATTCCAGTGTGCGACCCTGAAAAATAAGCAAAACTACCGGTAAGTTGAGGAAGGAAACATACATGTGCCGGTACATGTACGTACAGCCTCAGGTACATGTACTTGACCAAAACAAACATTTCTTTTAGGTTTTAAAAGCATGATTGAAATAGTCAAAAAATAAATTCGGAAAGAAAAGATTAAACAAAAAGAAAAAAGTACATTTAAAATTTTTCCAAAATTAAATTAATAAACTCCAGTTTACAACATGTATCTGTCTGTTGGCCAACAGAACAGATAGAGGGCTTTTTTGCATTCTTTTGTCAATTTCTGTAAATAATTAAGTCATTATCACGTACATGTACATGTAAGGTCAAGTTTCATCTGTAAAACTTCCTTTAATCATGTTAATAGTTACTTGCAAAGTTTCAACCCGATGGGACTTGTACTTCAGGAGATATAGGGCTTTAAACAGTGCAACTTCAATGTCAGGTGACTTGTCTCCTGATGACGTCATTGTCACATCAGGTCATTATTCATCTGTAACACTTCCCTTTCTAGTTATCTGTAGGGCTGAGTCAGTTCGAATAATTCACTCTTCGAATATTCGACCTTCAATTTGAACAAATATGTAAATATTCGTTTGTGCCGACCCGGCAGATTGTTGATGAACAATCCATACAAAATCAGTTGCAATAATGCACAAAATTGTACATTTTAATTTCTTTAGTAGCTTCTCACGTCTGGGAATATCTCCAGCCATGATTTAGCAAGATTTAGAGAGGAAAAATACTTCTTTTCCTGTCAAATTTTATAATGAACAAATTATTTTTTGAATTGTTGTAAGATTTCTGTTGCTTTTCATTTGAGTCTGCTTGAAACAAGTCTCCACGGTGCAATTTTTCACATTTAAAACAAAAGAAAATTCTCCCTTTGTTTTCATGGATTTTGCATTTGGAAAATAATATTCGAATATCTGATACTCAATCGAATATCCGAATATTCAGATATTTGGCACAGCCCCAGTTATCTGCAAAATTTCAGCCAGATGGGACATGTACATGTAGTTTAGGAGATACATGTACTTGTACCGGTACATACATGTAAGACTTTGATGTTTGCACATTTAATGCCATGTCACATGACAATGTGGATTTTGTTCTTGGATCCATTCTTACTTGTGGTCTAAGAAGTGAGCACCTAATCAGTCAGATCTACATCTACTGTACAAGAGTGCCAAAGTCTGTCTGTTGAAAAATGTGTACAAAACATCTTGGAGAAAATTAAATTTTCAAAAACCAATTAAAAATAATGTGATGATGTCATCATGATGTCATAAATTTGCCAAAATTAATAACTGCCAGACTACATGTATCAACCATCTTAAGTTACCCAAATGGTGGCTTAAAAACATCGTGTACATGTACCATACAAAGTCAATGAGCTAAAAATCCCACTGCAGACAAATTGCTCCTTAGAGTGCATGTAATGTGATTGGCGTTATATTACTTAATATTTTGACTCTTGGGTATATTTCAAATCAAATAACAGAGTGTTAAACCTACGATTTCTTTTTCATTCTCATAGTAATCTTGAGCTGAAGTTGAGTACTACTTGCTCGTTAAGATCGATAATAGGGTGTACAGTAGAAAAATGTGTACAAATCCTATGGAGAAAAACTGCAGTTTTCATCTCATATCAGTGATGTCACATGCCCATCAGGCAGGGGAGGCTAAAATCTGGTTGCTTGAATTTCATTTTCAGTTGCCCGACAAGGAAGTTTTTGCCCCAAGCTGTAGGCTAATGTTTACTGACCAGAAATAACCTAATAATAATAAGACTTTTGTTTGAAGGGGGAGCACGGTACGGGTAGGTAGGTCACTCATAAACGTTTTTCCTAGTTTCCTAGTTTCAGCTGAAATGTCTAAAATGCTAGGATTAAAATGCAATGCAAAAATGTGTTGCCGAAAACTGGTACATTGTACTTGCCCATTGGGCTGGCAGCCTGGAATATTTGGTTGTCCAACAAAATATTTTGGTTGTCCGGGGACGTTGGACTACCAATTCTGCGAGCCCTGCCCCTGATGATGTCATTATGACAATTTTGTTCTGGGACCCTCTTTATGCTGTTTAGTAAGAGTGTGCACAAATATGAAATCATTGAGACTGACCCGAGTCCAAAAAACTGGCTGTTGAAAAACGTGTACGAAACCTGTGGGAAATTATCAAATATTGAAAAATCAATAAAAAATCAGGTGATGACATCAGCATGACATCATAAATTTTGTACTATTTTTGTATGAGGGTATTTATTGCCTGTATTAAACTTTGACGATTGAAGATCAGCAAGTTACCAAACTGGTGCCTCAAAAATGTACATGTACAAAGTCAATGGACTGAAATAAATATTATGAAATCAATAAAAGTCACTTGGTGACGTTGTAAAACATTTTGGTGTTATGGCGTTCCATGCAATTCAGCACCACATGTTGCAATGGCATTTTGGTCATTTGACATTCCATACAAAGTGATCTGACTTCAGTGCCACGTGCTTGTTTCACTGCCCTGAGTATGTACATGTACCCACGCACTGTACGAGGTCTTTGTGAAACATGTAATGTAGGCAGGCTAACATGTTCACCCACATACCGGTACATGTAGTTAAGCCAATACACAGACAGTATCTAGTACAAATGGGATTTTCGGGTACGTAAATACAGTAAGGTGTGTTTTTGTCGTCGGTGCCTCATCTGTGTAAACATATAAGCCATTTATCACTTGGTGCAACGGACTTCAATGTTTTCTGCTATTATCTAATGTGCATTTCAAGCTTATAGATTGGCAACATGTCTCCCGTGTACTTCTCATGGTTGATTTTTACCGAATTTTGAAGAATAATAGGACTTTTTATGATAACTTCTGGTCTAATGATGGCCCCAACTTTTACGTATGTGTTAACCTGGTAAAGATCATCATTCACATCAATTTTCAGGCGATTCAGACAAACTTCACCACAGACATCTTCAAAATCCGTTTTTCAGAATTTTGAACCTGTCACTTGAGGGCGCTTGACAATTACTTGACGTCATTGGTAGATGTTTTGAAGAGTTCAATATTCCAAGAGACTAACATCGTTGAAAACAAGTCAATATCTTTTACCACTTTTAAGCAATAAGCCCACTTCCAGTTTTGACTGGACATGCTGGAAGGAAGTGTCACTTGATTTGATTCACACGAGATGAATTGAAGACCAAATTTTACTGTGCCACTTGCTGCAAACAGAATTTTGCGGGAGGCCATTGTCAATTTTACATGTACATGGATTTTTAAACGTTTAACATATTGTTTAAATGTTCAAAATTTAATGAAAAATCTCTTGGATGGATGTCATCATAATATATTTGTTTTAATATTATCTTTGTTTAAAGGTTTGTGCTTGGTGTAACTTTGATGATGATCAGTCATCGCTACGTGTAAGTTACAAAAAGTATGCCTTGAAAACGTATTCAAAGTCAATAAGCTGAAACAAATATTAAAAAATCAATGACAAATCACCTGATGACGTCACCATGATTCATGATGTCACCATGATTCATGACGTCATTGTTCTATGCACATCTTTCCACTAAGGTCCTTTGTTGATGTAGGTTTGATGAAGATCCAAAGTTGCAAAAGGACCAAAGTTGATGGTAAAGAAACTTTGCTCAAAATAAATAAGCTTTTGGTCAGAAGAGGAAGAAGCAGGTGAAAAAAGAACAAACAGAATGCTTTTTTTGCAAAATTGCGAAATAGTCAATAAATTGATTTATAGGTTTTCCTGGCCAATTTCGGAAAATCTGCAATCTAATTTATGAAATAAAAATTTAATTGCCCTAGGTTTTGAAAACAACTTAAAACCTGGTTTCATTTTCGCAATAACAAGCATTTGTCTTTGTTTTGTATCAAATAAAAGAATGTACATTATGTTTCATTAACCCTCCTATGCTAAGATGCATTCTTGACACAGTTGTCATATCAGTCAAAATCAGTCACATTTCCCATATGTGTCTGTGTACTCAGGGAAATCAATTGGAAGGCATTTTTGACTGTTTTTGACGGTTAAAACAGAAGGAGGGTTAAAGAGGTTACAAATACATGTACATGTGTATGTGACTGGGATTTTGGTAATTGAGGTATTCATTGTCAGTTATAACAAATGTGCAATCTTATTCACTGAAAATCTGTCTTTTGCCGTGACCCTTTGGTATTGAGTATTCATTTTCAATTTGTTATAATTCAAATTCGCAAAATATGCATTTGATTTGGTTAGAATATACAGGGTTACGCAAATCAAGACACCGCTTCGGATGATAGTAATGTTACTCATGAAGGATTACAGTGTGTTTGTTATCAAATTGTACGTCTGTACGTGTACATGTAAATCAAGGTCTTTATGACAGTGTACACAAATGAAATGTTACAAAGAAAAAAATCAGATCAAAATGAAGAGATTTTGTGAAAATGTTAGGGATGTGTAACTTGTCATGTTCTTGCAAAGGGAGTTTAAGATTTTATGGGTTCTTTATTTCGTAAAGTTCTGTCATTTTCATTCATCAATGAATTTCGTGAATTGAAATTACAGCAAATGAAAATGAACACTTGACACAGACAGTTAACGGTTTAAAAAAAAAGATTTTCAGTGAATAAGATTACACAGTGGGTACAATTGGCAACAAATATGTCAAATCAAAATCATAATCACTTATTTGTAACCTCTTAAATGAAATGTAATTTGAAGGATGCAAAACAAAGTCGAATGCTCATTTTTTGAAAATGAACAAGTTGTTTTCAAAATCCACACCAAGTTGAATTTATTTTACGAATTAAGCAGCACATTTCCAGAAATTGGCCGGGAAAACCTATACAAGAAAACATCATAGGAAAGGGGATTACACCTGTATGAAATTTTGGTTATTTAATGTAGACATGGGGAAATGATTTTAGACGTGGAGCACTAAAATTGGACGGGCAAAAAAAAATGGAAAAATGAAAAAGAAGCTAAATACATGTACAAAATCGATAGTGCTGTTAACGAAGTTTTCCAGAATATTTGTGGAAGCAGTCCTCCAAAAATCCTTGGCATAGAACTTGTACTGGTACTTACATGTACCTGCGACAACCGGGAAGGTTTAAAATCTACCCCTATTGCATTATCCAGGGACGATTGATTCTACGCGTTATTGCACGGTAACCTCAAGACCACTTCTGAGTGTTCTACAAGACTCCTGCCCGAAACTACAAAATGCACAAGACTGGGGTATATAGGCCTATGTTTTATTACAAAAACACAACATATCATGCACGTAAACTTGATGTACATTCATGGAACTATCAACATACATGTACAGTCATTTGCAAAAGTTTTAGACCATCCATACAAAATTCAGTAATAAGAAGGAAAACAAACTTTAGCAAATAAATCTTTTAACTGAAACTATTTCAGTCATTTGAAATACGCGCAATATACATGTACACAGCTGTTGCCTGTGCCTCCAACAAGCCATCTTGGGTGTCTCCCATCCAGACACTTTCACTCAGTCAACTGGGTGTCCCTCTGAAGGTGGACAACGAGGTCACTGATGGGTTCTGAAGGTTTCTATCAACTTGCCCTCGGTGCTTTCTCAAGTGAACTGTACATGTACATGTAACTCCACTAAAGGGAGCCAGTTCTCAAGACAGTGCCGAGCTGTCTGAAAAGCCTGACTCTCTTGGCTGAAAATGACCAAGAAGCGAGTCCCAGCTGATTGGCCAGGATACAGTATTTTAGTTAGACTTTCTTACAATGTAGCAGCTGTCACTGGCAGAATCCTCTAGGCTTTTGCCACTATTCCAGGGAATATCTTTTCCCATGGTAAAATCAACTTGAGCTAATGGTCCACAAATACATATGCTGTCACACCATTGATCTGAGCTCCTCTTGTCTCTGGCATGAAATGAGTAGAAATTGTCACCAGCCTCACTGTACCAAGAACTGCCCCAAAAGGCCTTCATGTGTTATGCAAAGTAAAAGCCTACAATTTCTTTCCAACTTTCCTGCTATGACCTTATTGGGAACACCACATCCCAAAGTATCAATCCAATTAACATACATGTACTTGTATTCACTAGGCGGTACCATGCATGGTAAGACCAGGAAGGACCCTTATACAATGAATATTTCAGGGTCAAACAAGTCCTCAAAATGTATGTGTAGATAGCGCAGTGTGTTTTTTGTCCCGTTCGCCTTCCACTGTTTTTAGGAATATGCATCCTCAGCCCTCGCTGAATAAAAAAAATTACTTATTGAACGTTGAATGATAAGCTGTTACATGTTCAACATTGAATGTTGAACATCAAATTAGGAATAAGTAACTAACTTCCTTCCACCTGCATCCCCTTGACATTTACTAGCACGTGTAGCCCTACATGTAGTGGCATCACTGTCTCTGGTAAAACAACATGTTGTTGGACACACTACTGGTACATGAACATGTAACTGTTTTGGGGACTTAACAATTCTCACGGTGACAAACATGACAAATCTTTAACTGGTTGTGTGCCAGTATAGTCATTGTGGTTTCGTATTCACAAGGCGAGAAACCATTTTACAATTTCAGACTTTTTTCCCTCAAAAAATCTGAATTTGGCACTGCCCAGTTGAAACCACATTTGCTTTGAATTTTTCAACCATTCGAAAAACAACAGTGTACATGTACATGCACTTACTTTCCAATGTTCATGTCTACCAGTACATGAAATTATAAATCAGAAATGAGGAAATGTACATTGTATTTTAATAAAAAATGGTTAGTTTTACCTTTTTGGTTTTTTGTAATATAAAGGTACATGTACAATGTACACAGTCTGTTGATATTTAACATTTGTTCACATTGTGTGTTTTCCCATGGGAGCGAGGTGCAGGACCCAATCCATTAACACAGCCCAAAGAAAACTGTACATGTAAACAAAGCTTGACGTTGTTTCATTTTATACACGTAGTCCATTGGCCTTACACCACACAGGTACATGTACATTGGAATTGGGCAACTGTGAGTCTAAACAGCTAAAGGTATAATATTTCTGTATCTTTTTAATCATTCAGTGCAGTTTACCGGTACTTGTCAAACATTGCCATTGGATTTGAGTGAGCAGTCCAAGTACAATGGAGAACGAGGGCGTGTCTAGATCTGTATCTGAGGAAGGATGGCAGCCGCCTCTCTTTGCAGCGTCAACATGGACTCTCATCATTGCAGCTATCTCTCTCTTCTTTGTGTAGGTTGTTTACTAAACATTCCATCAGGTGATAGGTGTCAGAAATCATCTCATGTCAATGCGGCGATGAAATTGCTCCTTGGAAAGTGCATGGACATCAGCTTAGGCCAAAAAATTCTGTTTCAAAAATTTGAATTACATTAAACGCAATCTAGTCCCAATTGTAACAGTTAAAAGATGATGCCAGATTTAAAAGTGTCCTATTCTATGTACACATATAAAGCATTTTATACTCCCTGGCTGAGTGGTTACTTGCATTTAGCCATAAAAGGTGATTGCAGGTCCTACATGTACAGTATTTTATAATTTGCGATGTAAACACACCTGATACTACATGTACCTGTTATTTGGTCTCTAGCGCATCAACATATGACCCCCTAATTGGGCCCATGAGTGTGCTTTCCCTCAGCCTTCGGAGGTGTAGTCTCGAGTTTAGGAACCCTGTTATTACACAATTTTATAAAGTGCAAATTCTGAGAATCCCTATTTCTTGAATTTTTGTGTTTTCTTTTCCATACTTCTCACCACAAAGTCCTGGTTATTACTGGTCCCTTGCACTTTGTTGAAGTGGCATTTGATTGTAAAAGGAGGGTCTACATGTGTTTGTAAGATCCTTTTGTGTTCATTCATTTACCTGGCGACTAGTCTGTGTACCTGTGTATATGTACATGTATGCAAGGAGGACTACCCATGCCAGTGAGTATGGTAATTTCCACATATTAACCCACTCTTGGTGAAGGACTGAGGAGTGTTAGGGTTGATGCTCTTTTCTTTCTTTTATAGTTATGATTACTGGCGCCATCACTACCTGGCCCGTATTGGTATTGCAGGGCCCAAACCCAAGCCGTTCTTCGGTAACTTTCTAGAAATGATATTCCACACAAATGTAAGTGCACATTTGTTTGTTGGCTTTGCCAGTGTGAGAATTGTGTTAAATTGCACATTGTAGATACATGTACATGTACATGTACATGTAGTAGTCTGCTTGTTGTGGGATCCATCATTTTTATCGGTTCGTTTCACAGTTACAGTCCATGTAGACCCCAGATACATGTACGTGTACAGGGTGTAGTCATGAAGCATATGGTACATTTTATTTGCGTACATGTATGTAAACATGGACTAACACATCTACACAGATACACCTGCAGTGAGCAACCATTCTAACATGTTTAATACAGTCATTCCCGTTGCTTTTATATATGGCGGGAAGAATGTGAAGAAACCTCAGTTTTGTTACGTATTCATAATAGTACCAGTGCAATTACACAAATGGTGTAATTTGTATTGGCTGGGAATTGTCCAGAGAAATAACCAGGACGTCTTGGAGGAGTTAATAACTTGTACCAGGTTGAAAAGTTCATACACTTCAAAATTTCCTTGGATATTTGTTAGTGGATAGTACTTTTCAGCTGTAGCCGGAGCTGCTCCACGACAAACTGACTTTTTCCGGTGCAGACCCATCGTCTTTTGAGACAGTAGGAGACTACTACTTCTGGCACTAGTACATGTACCATGGGTTGTAATGTGGTTGTATTTGTCCTTACTTTCGGGTCAAACTTTTAGAAAAACTCCAGCTGCCGTTGTACCTTATATTTTCCATATCTGTGCCCTCCCTTTGATCAGACTGTCACCACCAAAGATTGTATAGCGCCACGTAGCGGCGCAAGATGGAGAACTTGGCCAAGAAGGTGTTATCACCATGGGCGTGATTTGAGTCGATGGTGCAGGCATACCAGGTGTGCATGCCTGTAGCCTGTTGCGTTAACATACTGTAGCATATTCACACCCAAATGGCGCCCATGCGATAACAATGTTTTATGCATATTCACGGTGAAGTTCTCCCCCTTGCGCCGCTGTGCAGCGCTTTACAATCTTTGGTCACGACTGTCATCATTAATTGCAATTTCCATCAGACATCATCAGAAACTGTCCAACCCCCTTATACCTGTATTTTCAGGGAGTATGGGGCTGGTATGAAGATATCATTGAGAAGTACGGCAAGGTAGCCGGGTAAGAAGTCAACAAATTCTCCTGTCAAATGCACTGTAGTTTTTCCTTTTTTAAGGCTTCAAAGTTTTCTCAAATCAGTTGATTACAGTATCTATTTCTCCTGTCTTTCCACAATTATGACAATGGGGCTTTCAGTTTCAACAGTGTTGGTTTGATTTAAAACTGAATGATTTTATTTTGTAACTATGGATCTGCTGATGTAAAAATTAAAATCAAATTTGGCAAAATTTTATTTTATTTTTCCAAGAAACTTGATATCGTTGAAGCTGCGATGTTAGGGGAAAGGCATGAATGTTACTTTTGTTAGTGCTTCCACATACATACATGTACATGTAGTCAAGGAAAAAAAAATGTTAGTTTGTCTAAAATCTTCTCTGGCCGCACATTGTGGTTTGTTGAAAATACAGCAACCATGTGTGTTGATACAGCACACAACTCATTTGCAGTGCAAATAAGGCCTTGTTTTGGGCATCAAAGGTGTTTGGTTTTGACTGTGGTTAAATTTTGAAGAGGTTGGGCATCAAAAAAGCCAGTGACTTCACACAGTGATCATCTCTTACAGGTGTTATATGGGAGGAAGCCCCATTGTGATAATTGGTGATGTTGAGTGGGTCCGACAACTGTGCATCAAGGACTTCGCCAGCTTTGTCAATCGCAGGGTCTGTATTTTGCGTGCATCATGTCATTATGGTTTATAATTAGTCATTAATATGTGAAGTTTTGCAGCGCAACCAATATCAAAATGTCTTCTCTTTTTTATCACAAGATTTAACCTACAGTTTCATCTATCAGTGGAAAAAGCAGAACCTTCTGATTTACTTGTATTTGTATCTTAATCATTTTAATTCTTGGTCAATTGCTAAAACACACAGGGACATTCTTGTTATGTTTGCTTTTATTCACCTGCTTTGCAGTGAATTGCTTGAAAGTACTGCACTGGTTCTTATCAATTACCAGATGTTAGTGTGTTCATGGAATCAGTCAAAAATAACCAAAAATTTGCCTTACGAATGCATTTGGCAAAGTTGAAAGACATGATGGAAGCATGTATCCTCCGTGATCTTTTGGTCCGAGCACATGTACATGGTTTTGCATGGAGAAAGCAGGGTGTGACAAGTGATATAATGTGGACACTCCACCATGGCTTATGTGCAGGTAATGTACATGTGTATGCCATGGATAGTGGGTCTACCGGTATCGTTCAAGTTTCCATCAGCCCACGTTTTTCCCTTCATAACGGAGGGGGATGGGGTTACTTGTGCATGGAGATTGTCAACCATTTTAATGCTTTTTTTGGGGGACGCGTTTTATTCATTGCTGACAAGTTGGCCATTAATGGAGTCTTGTAGTGACCTGATTTTTATCTCCTCAATAGTCTGAAACCATTGACAACAAACCGTTTCATAAATCCCTGACTACTTTGAGAGACAGTCATTGGAAGGACGTCCGAGGGATTCTCAGTCCAACATTCAGTGGATCCAAGATGAAGCTGGTGAGTCACGACCTTTGCACGATTCCTACAGTTTTGGACGAGGGTCCCATGTTAGTAGACTTCCTACTCATCTTTGGTCGGTCCGGTGCAGTGGGGTACTTGTAATTCCTCGCCCTCCACTTCAAGTGACTTAGGTTGGAATCCCATCTAGGCTGACCTGAAGATTGGGGTCTCTGCTAGGCGCAAACCTCTTTCTGTTGAGTTTACCTCCCACCTCTGACACTGGACATTTCTTCATTGCCTTCCCTGGGCTTCAAGGGAGCATTGTTCTCTTGAAGGCACATGCAACTTTGTTTTTCTGGAAACAGGACAAGCGGATGCAAGTTTGATCTCAGGGACCTCATGAACAATGTATTTAAAACCCAATGCTACTTTTGGAAAACAAACCCATATCAGTCAAAATTTCATGTTTGTCCCACTATCTCTCATTCAATAGATGGCACCAATCGTCAATGATTGTCTGGATCCAATGATACGGAAAGTGACCAGGTTGAATAAAGAAGGCAAGGGGTTAGAATTCAAGGAGTAAGTTTCATTCAATTGTAGTGATAGCCACACGACATCTCAACCTTCTAGTTTATGATGGCAAGCATTTCAGGGTTCGATTAACATAGAAAATCCCTTGCAATACATTAAAGACAAGCTCACTGATTTACAAGTACTCCGAGGCAGAGGTCAAGTTAAGTTTTCATCATATCTACTGACCAGTTGTAGTGAAATACAAGTACGAGATGGCAGGCCGCGACGAATCGCCTGTCCGATAGCCCGGGACAATTACATTTTCATTCGGGCAATTAAAATTCTAACTAGGTGTGCCTGTTTGGGCAAGTCCGGAAAGCTGATATCTTTTCTGTCTTCACAAAATATCTTTCAATAACTTTTTCTCACGTTAAACTGTTAAAATGCTTGTTTTTGTATGTTTTCCTACTTACATTTGCAATTTTTGGAAAGAAACTTCCGTTATTTTCACGAGTTCTCATTCACGTTTCACTGTCACAGTGGTGAAAACATGTGCCCACAGATCAATGCATTAAACAAAGCTGCTCTGGTTCCCGCTGTGCCACGCCCATGCAAAGAAATGTAGCAACCAGAACCAGTCTGTACATGTACTATTCGTTCCGGTCGATTACTCTACACCGGCCATACAGGCACGCAACCCTAAAGCCACAGGTCAAAAAAGCATTGACGTGGCAAGAGGTTTTCTGTAAGTTCCTTCACAGAATTTGGTCTCTTATTCATGTTATTTATGTATGTATTTTTTGTGTTCACGAGTTTAATTTGAGTTTGTTTTTCTTGTACTTGAAGCGAGCGTCTTTCAACAAATTTCCTTCCACCGCACAAGGTTTTTCACCCACTGGTCTGGATGCCTCACGCACGCTAACCACGTGATACATTGTTGGCCAGTTTGCCGTCGTGATGAGTCACACTGTGTGAATTGCCCATAATTCTTGCCTGTAGAAATTTTTACATAGATTAAGACAGGTGTTCATCACTTTTTGGAGATCTTTTTGGAAGCTGTCATCCCTGTTCATGCCATTCAATCAGGACAAAAAAAAATCTCCAACCTACTGACCCTATTTTTAAGGGGCATGTAATTGGAAGCACAACTACATGTGTATTTTGGGGGCCTAATAAAAGACTGCATGCTTGCAGTAGGCCGAAGTTAAATAACCATAATAATCGTGGATTCCGAGAAATCTTGGGCAAGTGTTGATCTAATTCGTGCAAGCATTTTTATGGCATGACCTGCCCGATCGGGCAAGCTCCAAAAAAAAATTTGTCATGACCTGCAAGATGGTGTGCATTGCATTATGCATGTACACATGTACATGTAGTGAATGCTTAAGTGGTATTGCTTGAGATGAAAGATAGAACAATCGCTGTTGCCAAACATTTAATGTTTTCACATGCAAGCCAGGAATAATTCAGACAAAAACCCTGCATCACCCAAATAAGTCCGTACTTAGTAAATCCATACATCATCTACGGTATGGATTTAGAATTTATGTATTATGAAATTTCTTTTAGCTCCACATATGACTGTCCATCAGATCAGTGAAAATTCACCTGATCCATTTACTGGTGCAGTAGAATGTCACTTTTGTGGTGCAACCATGCTTTGTTTTGGGATGAATAATTCAATGGCATATGACCAACTGCCAACCAATCAAATGATAATATGCTTTTTTGGGGGATGAATAATTCAATGACATATGACCAACTACCAACCAATCAAATGATACTGTGCTTTGTTTTGGGATGAATAATTCAATGACATATGACCAACTACCAACCAATCAAATGATACTGTTTTATACAATTATTGAAAGTTTTCAGCGGTTCATGTAGATGTAGGAAATAATCTGTTAGGCTTGCTATACGTCATTGAAGGAGGCTAATTGTATTAAGTACTGAAATAAAGCTCAATAGATATTCATCACGCAACACCTCAACCATAGATTCTCCCCAGTTTTTAATAGCGATATCTCTTCTTTGCCAAACTAAAAACCAGAATATTTGTGCGCGTATTTCTATTTGAAATTAATTCCAACCTCACTTTTCATGCTCGTGCAGTTCACAATCTTTCCACCAAATGAAAATGTTTCCTCTCAATTTGTCTTTGTTCAGAAAGGTATGCACATGCCTATGAAATTCCTCTAGTACTTCTGTGTTGTACTTTTCTTTCTAGTAACATTCTGACTCCCTTGTCTTCTGTTTCCTCACCAGGGTCTACAGTGGCTTTCTGATAGATGCCATTGGCAACACTGCATTTGGGTTGACCCTCAACTCCCAGGAAAATTCTGATGATCCCTTCCTCCATAATGCCAGAGACATCTTCAAGTTCAGATTCAGCATAGCGATTTTGGTTGTGCGTAAGTTCTTCCTTGTCAGTAGATCATTGCCCAAAAAAGCTCTAAAAATGATGGAAATGGCCAGCACTGTCAGGACAAGCTAACTTTTTGTCCCTTTTTGTCTGAAGTTTTGCTCTGGAACAAAGAATTCTTCAGGGGAAATATGTTAACATTCAACAGCATGGCGGCACTTCTGCAAATAATTTGCAACCCAACCAACGAACATGTCAAAATGCGGTACCAGTATAAGTTTTGAGAAGTGTTTTGAAGTATTTCAGGCTTCTTTACAAAATTGTAGGAAAACAGTTTAAAACTATCATGCCCTTTGTCTAAGTAAAGCCTGCACTTATATGAAATCACAGTAAACTTATACTGATAATTTTAAAATCACATGAGCATTTCATAAGTGACGATGGACTATAAGACTTGTTTTGTTAGATCCTGTTGCATTCAACTGTGCCTGCTGAAACTTTGTGAATTGATTTATCAAAACTTGGCTGAAATGAAGGTACAAATGATGCCTAAAGGTAATGTTTTAGTGATGAGGCCTGCCAGAACTGCTTTTCAACATCTTACAGCCTTGGACCTCACCTGTCCAGTCTGGGTTCATCGTGAAATCTGGCATGTCCATAGAAACACTGATTGTGAGACCATACATTAAATTACGCAACTCTTCACTTCAGTGAGCCAGTCCTGTATTTCCAAAAAGGACAGGTCATTGGATAGGGCCACCCACGACACCATGCTAGCTCAAATATGTTCAGTGCATGTGAGTCAAGATCGCCTTTGAGCACTCTGGTAAGCTTGACCCTGTGTGCATATTCTGGTATTCTCGAATGACATACACATGGAACCGGCTTATTAGAGAGTTTTTCTAATTTTTACTACCCGGTACAGCGCATACATGTACATGATGCCCCTTACATGTTGGGTCGTGCATGATGATCGTGTACTTGTTTCCAAGTTGGGCTGTGGGAAAAGTACACACACTCCTTTCCCACTGACTAATTACAAGTACAAATGCATAGATAAACACAAAATAAGTGCGAGACTATGCATTATAAACACACCGGTAGGACCACTGGCAAGAATTTGCCTGAGGGAGGTCTAAGTAGAACACTGCCAACTTGAACTTGGAGGTACAAATTTTTTCCTCCCGTCATTTTTTTAGTTGAATGAGAAACAGATGAAAACAGTTACTGGATTAGGAGGATTGCCCAATTAGGATTTAGATCCAATCTACTGGAAAGCCTTACATTTTGCTTCCCCCTAGTGCTGGCCCCTATCCTGTCTCCTGTTGTGAACTTTTTCAACCTGACCACGTTTGACCGGAAAACTCTGAAGTTCTTCGAGGATGTGTTAGACCACGCTGTAGAAGTCAAAAGAGCTGGAACTGCCAAGGTAATGCACTGCAGCACACCTTATTCCGCCCAGTAACACCAATGCTCATGCCATGTGCCATGTAGTCTAAGCTCCATTAATCTTCTAAAAGCCAATGAATGGCCACACGTTGTAAACAGTACTGATGTGGAACCACATTTTTATATTTGTATGTCCATATGAAGGATGGTCCCTAAGTTTTATAGTGAATAGACTTTTGTTGGGAGATGGAGTGTTCTGTCATGGCCAACTTGGAGCTTGGATTGGATTGTTGGTACTATTTCACAGGCTGGCGCTAGTGTTGAGTTTCTAGAGTCTCTCTCTCTGCAATTTCTAGAGCCTCTTACCCCCATGCCATTAGGGGGAAAGAGTTCCTGAGCTTTTTACCACAATCCCATGCAGTGGTAACGTCTCCCGAAGGAAGAAGAAATAACAGACTGCATGTCACACTGTCAATTTCAGCGAGTGGACTTCCTGCAGCTGATGCTAGATGCCCAAGAGAGGACGGAGGATGACAAAGCAGAGGCCACCGAGGAAGAGAAACAGGAAGAAGAACATCGAGCCAAGATGAGCAAGAAAACGCTCACCGCGGATGAGATCAAGTCACAGGTGCCCACATGTAGATTAAAAGGCATTATCGACGATGGAAAGGAATACATCACATGCACAGTCATGTATGTAATGGACAACCAGTGTGTGAACCAACTTGCACGCATACATGTACTCCATTCATTTGCACTGCATTTCCTGGTTCAAGAGAAGTCACACTTTGGTACTCTGTAACAAACTTCTCAAAAACTAAACATTCAGCCAATTGGCTTCTGATGTGTATGTACACATTAAGCATTCACAGTGATTTGATTTGGTTCTTGATGAACAAGTTCCAATCTGCCTGGGCTTTAACAAATGAAGCAATTGTTGACTGCCGTGGTGTTAGACAAGCTGTATCTGTGTGTGTGTGATCTTCTTGAGGACATACATCGGTCTACTCAGCTTTGGCGGTGGAAGAAATAGAATAAATTGCTACCTACATTATATGTGATTCCAACCCAGCCATTTTGAGCCATAAATCACCAAGCTTTATTGAAAACCCACAAAGTGCATTTGTTAACGAGGGTGTGAGACTGATCTAGTCAAAAGGAAGAGTTTATGACGTTCCTGCTCATGAAACCGGTCTCTGTGCTGATGATGTCACCATTTGTTATACATGTACACGTGGGCTTTGCTGTGGAACCGGTGGGGTTTACTGTCCACCAAGCGCTATAGGAAAGCAATAACCAAAATATTGAATGTGGCATCGTCAGTATAGAGGCCCTGTAAAAATGAAAGAGTTATTTCAAAGATGGATTTGCGTCTGGGAGACGTAAATTAATATAGGGAGTATGCCCAGTGTTTGCCCCGAAGGCTTGTGAAAAGAAATACAAGTTGGACAGGGCAAAATTCAAAAATTAATTCACATGTCCTTGACGTAAATCCATCTTTGAAATACTTTTTTTTGGCGGCACCCGCTGCTACATTTGATTTGAACAAGCCAGCCTACAGCAGCAAGTTCGGTGGTCGAGTGATTAAGACGTCCAAAGCAGGAGGTCGTGGGTTCAAGTCCCACCCGAGTACGCTTGTGGTTTTTTCACAAGCCTTCGGGGGCATACACTGAGTATACAGTGTCAAAAATACACGTCAGGCAGGGCAAGATCCAAACATACCGGTAATTTGAAAGAGCTACTCATCAAGGTTCAGTGTGTTGGTTCAGGTTAAATATCCTTGCTGTCAGAATTTCACTTAAAACTCCTGGGCCTAATTTGGCAGTGCTGCATAACCGTAAGCCAATATCACGGGTAACACTTCATGGTTGCTGTGTCT